GGGGGTTAAGGCAAGGCGATCCGCTTTCTCCCCATATTTTTATACTTTGCACGGAGGTATTATCAGCTTTATGTTATAAAGGCCAGCGAGATGGATCACTCCCGGGAGTTAAGTGTTTCACGCAATAGTCCAGCGATTAATCATCTACTTTTCGCCGACGATACTATGTTCTTTTGCAAAACCAGAGTATCATGTGTGGCTGCATTACAGAAGATTCTCGTGATATACGAAGAGGTTTCGGGGCAAAGGATCAATCCACAAAAATCAGCCATTACTTTTTCCGCTAAAACACCAGCTAGTGTCCGAGCGCGGGTGAAGGATTCATTGTCTATCACATTGGAAGGGGGTATAGGTAAATATCTGGGGCTACCCGAACAGTTTGGAAGGCGGAAAAGAGATATATTTGCATCGATTCTGGACAGAATAAGGCAAAAGGCACACAGCTGGACTTCGAGATATCTCTCGGGAGCGGGGAAACAGATTATGCTAAAGTCGGTTCTAGCTGCGATGCCTTGTTATGCGATGTCGTGTTTCAAGCTTCCGGTGTCTCTGTGTAGACAAATACAATCCCTACTCACTCGATTTTGGTGGGATGCAATTCCGGATAAGAGGAAAATGTGTTGGGTTTCCTGGGAAACATTGACGCTGCCAAAATATGCAGGGGGTTTAGGATTCCGCGATATCGAAACCTTTAATGACGCCTTGCTTGCTAAAATTGGCTGGAGACTCCTAATGGATCCAAAGTCGCTGCTGGCGCAAGTACTACTTGGAAAGTACGTTAAGAATTCAAATTTCTTGGAATGCTCTGTGCCACAAACCGCCTCACACGGCTGGAGGAGCATAATAGCAGGACGAGATATACTGCTGAAGGGACTGAGTTGGGTTGTTGGAGATGGTGAGACGATTCGCCTATGGGACGATCCTTGGTTATCTTTCAGCGATCCTTTAAAACCAATGGGACCACCAACATTGGAGAATCAGAATTGTAAAGTCAGTGACTTATTGTGCTCACTTACTAATACATGGGAGGTGGAGAAGATTCGGAGCATTATACCTCAGTATGAGGAGGCTATTATGAAGATAAAAACCAGTACAACACCATCAGCTGATACTCTTGTATGGCTCCCCGAGAAAAATGGCTCCTATTCGGTCAAGTCTGGGTATGGAATTGGTATTACAGCGTCGCGATCCTGGAGCACAGATGAAGAACCGGTTAATTGGTTCAAACACATTTGGAATCTTCAGACAGCGCCGAAAATAAAGGATTTCCTTTGGAGAGTGGTAAAGAAGGCCATCTCGGTGAGCGCCAACCTAGAGAAGAGGGGAATCGCTAGTTTTAACTGTAAAAACTGTAATGGGATAGAGGATGATCTTCATGTTTTTCTGCTCTGTCCATTGGCGACGGAAGTCTGGGATCTGGTACCAACCTCGCAAAGGCCTTCTTCTTATTTGCCGTCAGTTGCTGAACTGATCAAAGAGGGCACTAAGTTTACACCACTTCCTCCTATAGGAGCTTCGTCCCCACTGTGGCCCTGGGTGCTCTGGAATTTGTGGAAGTCAAGGAATCAACTCTTGTATGAAAACAGAGCATTCACAGCAAAAGAAATCGTATTGAAAAGCATTAAGGACTCTAAGGAGTGGAGTTCGGCTCAGGAGACTTCTGAGGTGATAATACCTCGAGATATAACTCACTACACTAGATTACGATCACCTTGCCCTCCCCCACCGACCCAACCAGGTGTTATGGTGGCAAAAGTAGATGCGGCCTGGAACTCTGTTTCAGGAAGATGCGGTATTGGTGTGATTTTTTCTGGTGATTATCCATTAACTCTTCCAGTAATTTCGGAAGCACAGCAGCATGTTTCGTCGGCTCTTATGGCAGAAGCCATCGCCGTTCATCGGGCGGTTTCCACCGCTGTTCGTTCAAACGTCCGATCCCTGGCAGTTCTATCGGATTCCCTTTCCCTAATCAAGTTATTGAGGACGGGAGGATATCAGCCTGAACTGTTCGGTATCATGTTTGATATCTATCGTTTTATCCCTCTCTTTACTGTTATCTCCTTTAATTTCATTTCTCGCAACTTTAATTCCGAGGCAGATTTGGTGGCAAAATCTGGTCTCACAATGGATGTAATGAACTCCAACTTTGGAGTCTAAACTCAGAGATGAATGAAATGTTTGTTTGTTTGCCCAAAAAAAAAAAAACAGAGTAGATTTCAACAAGGTGCGCGTAGAGAATAAACGTTCTGTTTTGTTGAAGGTAAACAAGTGTAACTGTTGAGTTTTATGGTGGTGAAATTTTTGTGTGGTTAAAGACATTTTCAATCATTTTGGTTTAGTTGAAGGACCATATATCTATTTTTTTTTTTTTTTTTTTTTTGCAAAGAAATGTCTAAAACTTTATGTGAAAGAAATGATAAAACTATATTACCCAGCCATGTCAATCCGAAATTATGAGAAATGGTTAATTATATTATTACAAATTATGAAAATATTATACATGAAAATAATATATGAACATTTTGATTACACACCATGAATTGTTCTATAAGATTTATGGCTGACGGTACTCATTGTACGATATTGAAAACCTCCTCTAAGTCATTCTTCTTTAATCTTGTATCGCTTTTTCTGATACTTGGAATCGAGATATCCTGGTAAATATTAAGGAGCCTTCTTTGTACAATATTATCTAAATGATTTTTGTAGCTATTTCTTTGTACAGTAGAACCTCTATAAATTAATACTCGATAAATTATAATTTCTCTAAATTTATAAATTTTGCCGGTCTCAACTTGGGCCGGTTCAAAATTTGACACTAATCGATAAAATAGTAAGATAATATTTTTTTAGAATGTTCTATGTAAATATATGGTGCCATTAAAATGATAAATTAATAATTTATATTTACACATATTTTATATAAATAAGAATCTATTAATATACTGTTTGTTATATTTACAATGAAATTATCTTTATATTTTCTTGACACTTAATATATTGTTGATGGGATTTAATAATATTATATCTAAAATCATATTTAAATTCTATGAAATATATATTATGTACACCAAATAATATAAGAAATTTAATATAAATTTCAAATTGCAAAAATGATAATAAATATCTATACACTAAAATAATTTTTTTTTTTATTTTAGAATAAATATATCTTAAAATAAAAACTCTAAATAAAGAAACTTTGATAAATTAATATCTTTATAAATTAATTAAATTTCAAAGATATTTTGTAATGTTATCTACCATTTATTGTGTTCTGATCTTCAAAAGATATTTTGGAAGAATACTTATCGGTTACTAATCTGAAAAGGCAGTAAAATCCATGCTGTTGACTTATATGCATAAGATAGGATCTCTTCCTACAAACAAAAAAACTTAAGAATACACATCATTTTCCCTAATTACCTTTATATTTACAAGAAAAAACCATTAATGGCCTTGGTTTTTCCCAAAACAATTTATTTCATCTCAAAACAAATTTCATCTATACAAATTATCAGTAACTAAAATGATTTCTCTAATATAAGAGCCAAGCTAAGAAAATTTATATCAAAAACGAAAAGCTATTTTATGCATAATTCAAGAGAAGGTAAAATCTTGTCAATGCTTTCTCTCTAGGGATGTTAATTGGATACATTGTCTATGGGCGGCCCATGTCCAAATCAATATGGTCACGTCTAAATCTGTCCAAAATATTTTTTGTCCAAATGGACTATGCTCAGATACGCCCAAAGTCCAATGGATAAAACCAAATGAACAGGGCCGCCCATGGACTAAAAATATCCAGGGTTAATATTAAGAAAAAGAAATCCCAAATCTCACTTTCTTCGTCTCTCGAGTCTCGACTCTCTCTCTTGCGATTCGCGAGTCGCCTCACGATCTCCACCTTGTCTCTCCATCTCTATCTCCTCTTTTTGTTTGGACTCTTCGAATCTCCATCTCTCACTCTGTTTCTTCTTCGATTCGCTTCAGGTCTCTTCTCACTCACTCTCTCGTTTAGCTTAGGATTCTTTAGTGGGTTTGCGATTTGATTCTCGTTTAGCTTAGGGTTCTTCGATGGGTTAATGGTTCATGATGATTCTTGTTTAGTTTATGGTTCTTCGAGTGTTTGTAAGCTTGATTCTCTGTATTTTCATCCGATGTTTGTAAACTTGATTCTCTGTGTTTTCATCCGATGTTTGTAAGTTTGATTCTCTGTGTTTTCATTTGATGTTTGTAAACTTGATTCTCATTTAAGTATCTTTTGATTTTTGTAAGATATGGAGTTTAGGTTTAAGACTTTAAATATTTTTTGTGAAACATTAAGTTTAAGTCTAAGTATCTTTTGTAAAACATGAAGTTTAATTAAGTTTAAGATATTATATTATGACATTTCGAATTTGTACATCTTTCAAATTGAAAATTAGACTTATTACATTAAATGGACATCTGGACTTCATGGACAGTCCAACTGGTTATGGTCCCATTTGGACATGGTTCTATTTGGACTCTGACCGAAAACGCCCAAAAAAAAAGATGTGTGCATGAAATAGTTATGTAGATCTCTGTCTCTCTTATTCTCTCCTTGGTCTGTTTTCTACATAAAATAGACGAAGTTAAATGTGTATTCTTTCTCACCTAAACACTTTGAATCTCACGCTTATCGAACCCAATCTTGCAACAGTTCATAATTTTTTTTTTTTGGATTTGTAGTCTCTAATCACACAGAAAGTGAGATTTGTGATATTTTTTGTTTATATTAATTATCATAAGGTTAGGAAGATTGTTTATCGTAATATGTTTGGAGATGAATGTAACATGTTCCATGACAACGTTTCTACAAGATGAATGTAACATGTTTTCACCAATTCAACAGGAACTTAATAATGTCGGATACAATAGTTTCTCATATTGATCAACATAATAACTTAGGAGGTAAGCGAGGAACGAACTTGTCAATATGTTTTGAAATCCAGACACGTTTTTTTTTTACAAGCAAGATGAATGTTGCAGATGTTGAGATCTCGGTAGATGACAAGAGGTCAACAAAGTTTTGCACCCTGAAGAAGAAGGCAATAAATGCGACCAACAAGTTTAAGCACTCCATAACCAAGAAAGGTCGTGTGACGTGTGTCTCAATCGTTGATGAAATCGATACAGAAGAGTTGCAAGCGGTTGATGCTTTCCGACAAGCTCTTATCTTAGAGGAGCTACTTCCCTCAAAACACGATGATCATCATATGATGCTTAGGTTCTTGAGGGCAAGAGAGTTTGATATCGAAAAGGCCAAGCAAATGTGGGCTGATATGCTTAACTGGAGAAAAGACTTTGGCGCAGACACGATCATGGAGGTGACATTTCAAATCCTCTCTTTCGTTTGTTTTCTCTTTCTCTCTAAGCTAAAGTTGTCTACTCTTTCTTCTTCTACAAGGACTTTGATTTTGAAGAAATAGATGAAGTGGTTAAGTACTATCCACAAGGATATCATGGTGTTGATAAAGAAGGAAGACCTATCTATATTGAGAGGCTAGGCCTAGTGGATGTCACAAAGCTGATGAAAGTGACCACAATCGATAAGTACGTGAAGTACCACGTGAAAGAGTTTGAGAAGACTTTCAACGTCAAGTTCCCGGCTTGTTCCATTGCAGCGAAGAGACATATTGATCAGAGCACAACAATCTTGGATGTTCAAGGAGTGGTTAGTATATGTGTGCTCATATTTTAAAGCTATAGAAAATTATAAAATTTTCCTTCGCTCATAGATGTTCTGTACTCTTTGTGATGTTTTGTTTTTCTTTTTTAGGGGCGAAGTAGTTTCAAAAAAGCTGCAAAAGATCTTCTTCAGAGTATTCAGAAAATCGACAACGATAACTACCCTGAGGTTTTGTTCTTTATTTTTCTTCTTCTTCTTCTTTATTTGATATGATATTTTAAATTGGTTTTGATCGTAGACAGAAACTTGACCACATATATGTGTTTCATTGTAGACACTGAACCAAATGTTCATCGTGAATGGTGGTATTGTGTTTTGGGGTATTTGGACGGCTGTTAAACCTTTCCTTTCCCCAAAGACTAGAGACAAGATTCACGTATAACTTTTTGAAAATTTCCAGACTGCATGTACACTTTTGTCTCGTTTAGAGTAGTAAAGAAACATTAATTTAATTTTCTGTCATTAAAATGGCAGCTTCTTAGCAGCAAAGAGCAAAGCAAACTGCTAGAAATCATTGACGCCAAGTGAGTAACTCATTTATATACATACTGTATGTGACGTTGAAACTGTTGCATTACTACTACTACTACTCAGGGCTCTTCTTCTCATATGCATCATGTGTTTTAGTGAACTGCCTGAGTTCTTGGGTGGTAAGTGCACCACCTGCGCAGACAAAGGCGGATGCATGCGTTCAGACAAAGGCCCATGGAACGACCCCGCTATCTTCAATGTACCTACGTAGTATCAAATTTAGAATTGGATTGGATAATTTTATTTAAAATATATCACGACAACTTCTGTTGATTGATTACATATATGATTATTCAACAGTTGGTTCAGAACGGGGAAGGTAGGCGCCCTAGGAAGAAGAACGAAACAGAGAAATTAGGCGAACCTTTCGAACAAGAAGAAGAGATCTGCAAGAATGAGGAGATCTTCATCGACAAGAACGTGGACACTACACAGCTCTACAAGGCCAACAACAATAACAACGTTCCAGAGTCTAAAGGTTTTATTTTCTTTTGGTTTAGCCAAAACCGGTAATAATTTCATTAAACCGTTTTCGATTTCAGATGTGATTCCGTTGCTGGAGAGGAAATGGTACTTATACGGAGTGGTGATGGCATTATTGATGTGGATAGTGGGAGTCATGAGGCTAACCAAGAAGAACATGCCTAGTAGAGACCTCACCAAGGCTAATGTGACGGTTATTCCGACGCAGGAGTATATGGCGATGGCTAAGAAGATGGCAGATCTTGAGGAGATATGCGACTCCGTGGATGCTCAGGAGAAGGTTCTTGACGCTGCACGTGGTCGTGTTGACCAGCTCGAGCTTCAGTTGTTCGAAACCAAGAAGGTGAAGAAGGAAGCTCTTCTTCTCTCTCTCTCTCTCTCTCTCACTGTTTTCTTTGTTATGTTTTGTGATTGCTCTGCTTTTTTTTTTTACTTTTGTGTGTAAGTTAGGCGCTGGACGAGACATTGACGAGGCAACATGAGATGATGTCATTAATAGATAAGAAAAAGAAGAAGAAAAGAAAGGTAATAAGAAGAACACATATATTAAACTATAACACCATATAGAAGGATTGATTGATTGATTACACACTTTTTTCATTGCTTATATATTTATACTTTACTACAGTTCTTACTGAAGGGCTGCTTCGGAGGAGTATAGTATCTTCAACCTCCAGCTTGTAAACAGAAGGCTTTAGAATATAAAATACACTTCCATTCTTCTCTAAAACTCTATCAAGACTTAGATTACTGGAGACGATGTAATGACTGCTTTAGAACTCTGTCTCTCTTTCTCTCTTATTTATTAATTGGATAACATTTATTAATTTTATTGTTTAGTTGCTCTGTTGATAGAAAGCTTAACCAAACAAAAACTATAACGATGTAAATATGCATTAAAACAAAATTTTTATATATTTTTTTTAATTTTTTCAATATATTTGGGTTAATCCCTACGAAAAAATCAGATTTTTATCAGAAGTTTTTTTTTTTTAACTAACCACTTCATTTGATAAAAGATTCCTTCATACTTGCTTGTTTGATAACAAAACTGATAGTGATCTGGTTACAGTTTTAATTCTTATAAAATGTTCCTGAAATAGGGAACCATAGTTACCTTTATTTTTGGCATTGTGTCTAAATCATCTAGATAACAGAATTAGCAATTTGCTAAAAGTAAACCATTGAACATTATCGATTATCATAACCTCCACCAAATTACAGCATACTCCCAAAAACTGGCCACACATATAACAACTCACCCTTTCTTTCTTTGATGATCTTTTTTGTCTCGCTCTTTTCTTGAACAACACGCTATCCAACAATCTCACCTCATTGCTTCTTATATTTGTTCTTCCTCATCACCTCTCTCTTCTCTCTTTCCTTCCCACCCAGGAAGGATGGAGATAAGAAAGAAACCTATAATATTTCATTTTCCTCCAAAGCCTTCCATGGCTCTCTTCCTGGCAATCTTCCTCTTCCTCTCAGGTCCTGCAGCGTATGCTGCGGGACCTGCTACCGGTTTTAAACCGGCAGATGATATCCTCATTGATTGTGGAAGCAAGTCTTCATCCAAAACCCCTGATGGAAAAGTCTTTAAAAGTGAACAAGACACTATCCAATACATAGAAGCCAAAGATGATATTCAAGTCTCAGCCCCACCTTCAGACAAAATCGCTTCTCCTATCTACCTAACTGCAAGAATCTTCCGTGAAGAAGCCACCTACAAGTTCCATCTAACCAGACCCGGTTGGCACTGGGTCCGCCTCCATTTCTTAGCCTTCCCCAACGACAAGTTCGATCTCCAGCAAGCAACCTTCTCCGTCCTAACGGAGAAGTATGTCCTGCTTCATAACTTCAAGATTACCAACAACAACAATGATAGCCAAGCTGCTCTCCAGAAGGAGTATCTCGTCAACGTAACGGATGCACAATTCTCCCTAAGATTCAGACCCATGAAAACCTCTGCGGCCTTCATCAACGCTATAGAAATCGTCTCGGCGCCTGACGAACTGATATCCGATTCCGGCACAGCTCTTTTCCCGGTTAACGGCTTCTCCGGTCTCTCCGACTACGCTTACCAGTCTGTTTACAGAGTAAACGTCGGCGGTCCATTGATCATGCCTGCGAATGACACACTAGGAAGAACGTGGATACCTGATAAGGAGTTCTTGAAAGATGCGAACATGGCTAAGGACGTTAAGACGACTTCCACAATCAAGTACCCTCCTGGAGTCACACCGTTGATCGCTCCGCAGACGGTTTATGCAACCGCTGCGGAAATGGCTGACTCTCACACAATTTCTCCTAACTTCAACGTTAGCTGGAACTTCCCTTCGAACCCGGAGTTTAATTACCTTATCAGGCTTCATTTTTGTGACATCGTTAGCAAGTCTTTAAATGATCTCTACTTCAATGTCTACATCAACGGGAAAACCGCCATCTCTGGATTAGATTTATCCACAGTCGCAGGAGGAGACCTCGCAGCTCCTTACTACAAAGACATTGTTGTGAACTCTACACTTATGTCTCCTGAACTACAAGTCCAGATTAGCCCCATGGGAGAAGATACAGGTACTGCAAACGCGATTCTGAACGGAGTTGAGGTTTTGAAGATGAGCAATGCAGTAAACAGCCTCGACGGAGAGTTTGGAGTTGACGGTAGAACCATGGGGATGGGGAAACACGGTATGGTCGCGACCGCGGGATTTGTAATGATGTTTGGAGCTTTCGTTGGCCTCGGAGCGATGGTTTACAAGTGGAAGAAACGGCCGCAAGATTGGCAGAAGAGAAACAGTTTCTCTTCTTGGTTGCTTCCTATACACGCTGGTGACAGTACTTTCATGACAAGCAAAGGCGGTTCTCAAAAATCTAACTTCTACAATTCAACCATGGGGTTAGGCCGTAATTTCTCCCTCTCCGAACTTCAAGACGCTACGAATAACTTCGAAGCGTCTCAGATTATCGGAGTTGGAGGGTTCGGCAATGTTTATATTGCAACTTTAGATGATGGGACTAAAGTTGCTGTCAAGAGAGGGAATCCACAGTCTGAACAAGGGATCACTGAGTTTGAGACAGAGATTCAGATGCTTTCTAAGCTTAGACATAGACATTTGGTGTCTTTGATTGGTTACTGCGATGAAAACTCGGAGATGATTTTAGTTTATGAGTTTATGTCTAACGGTCCGTTTAGAGATCATTTGTACGGGAAGAATCTAGCTCCTTTGACGTGGAAGCAGCGTCTTGAGATATGTATTGGGTCAGCTCGTGGGCTTCATTATTTGCATACTGGAACGGCCCAAGGGATTATTCACCGTGATGTTAAATCAACAAACATTCTTCTCGATGATGCTTTAGTTGCTAAGGTAGCTGACTTTGGTCTTTCTAAAGATGTAGAGTTTGGACAAAACCATGTCAGCACGGCGGTTAAAGGAAGTTTCGGGTATTTGGATCCTGAGTACTTTAGGAGACAGCAGCTCACGGATAAGTCTGATGTTTATTCGTTTGGTGTGGTTCTTCTAGAAGCTTTATGCGCGAGACCGGCTATTAATCCTCAGCTACCGAGAGACCAGGTTAACTTGGCTGAATGGGCTATGATGTGGAAACGTAAAGGGATGCTAGAGAAGATCATTGATCCTAATTTGGCGGGAACGATAAACCCTGAGTCGATGAAGAAGTTTGTGGAAGCTGCGGAGAAGTGTTTGGAGGATTATGGTGTTGATAGGCCATCGATGGGAGATGTTTTGTGGAATTTGGAGTATGCACTTCAGCTTCAAGAGGCGTTTACTCAGGGGAAAGCTGAGGGGAGTGAGGACGGTGATGAGCCAGGTGGCTCGGTGGTTGTGCCAGCAGATACAACTCCAATGGCTCCTGCTGTTGCTACCAATGTGGCGGCTAGTGTTCAAGTTGGTGGTTCTAAGGTGGAAGAGAAGGATGGTGTTGCTGAGGCTCAGGGTGTGGAAGAACATTCTGGTACTACCATGTTTACTCAGTTTGCTAGCCTTAACGGAAGATAAAAAAAGAGAAAACAGAACAAAAAGAATGCAACAAAACGAATTTGTTACCATAAAAACTAAACAGTAACTGAAATGGAAAAGAATGTTTCTTATTATGTTTTTTTGTGATATTTATATTTTTTTGGTGTATTGTGTCAAATTTCTCTATTTTTTTGTATGAATTGTAATTCGTGGGTGGATATGTATTTGTGTGTATACTACTAAATGCTCTCTGATGCATTTATCTACTTATCCTCCTTTGTTGTAGCTGTTAAATCTTTTTTTTTTTCCTTCTGTAGTTGCAAATACAACTTCATAGTAAAATGTGGAATGAATCTTCTTCTTCTTACTATATTACTCACCCACATGCAAATATTTCGGTCAAAATCCTTCAACTTTGTTATTTAGGAAACGTGCTTTTGTATAAATAAAAAATAAAAACAAAACGGCTCTTGGAAATTGATATACTCTGCAGATCTCGAATCGTCTCTGTCACCCAATTAAAAGCTTTGTACAAGTTGCATTTGAAAAATATAAAAAGATGCTCCGAATCGTAAGAAAAGGGTTTAAAAAATGATGAGAGGATCTTTTACTTTACTCTATTAATAGGCTATGTACGAGGTTCTTCTCTACACCTCAACACAAAACACCACAATGAAATCTTCCCGGTTCACTATCTTATTAATCTTTGCCACCTTTACCTCTCTCCGTTGTTTAAGTTCCACCAAAGCTGCCACATGTCATCCCGATGACGAGGCGGGTCTGTTAGCATTCAAAGCGGGAATAACCCGAGATCCCGCGGGTTTTATTAGCGACTGGAAGAAAGGTACTCCTTGTTGCTCCTGGAACGGTATTACTTGTCTAACCGACCGCGTAACCGAACTGAGATTATCTGGGACCAGCTCTTATGGTGAAAGCTTTCTGTCCGGAACTATCTCACCTTCTCTAGCTAAACTTGAGCACCTCGAGGCTCTCTCCTTCATCTACTTCCTAAACATGTCTGTGCCTTTTCCACAATTCATTTTCCGGTTACCGAAGCTGAAGTATCTTACCATCAAGGCTAACCGTCTCTCCGGACCTCTCCCGGCCAATATTGGCGCGCTAAGCCAGTTGGTGGAACTCGATCTCGGGGATAACCGGTTAACCGGTCCGATCCCAAGTTCCATATCAAATTTGACCCGGTTAACTATGCTCAATCTTGGCGGGAATCGTCTCTCGGGGACCATACCAGATGTTTTCAAATCCATGTCAAAGCTAGGGACTCTCGATCTCTCCCGGAATGGATTTTTTGGGAAGCTTCCTCCCTCAACCGAGTCTCTTGCGGGTCTCATGCACTTGTATCTGAGCCAGAACAATCTCTCAGGGAAGATTCCTAACTATTTTTCGAGGTTTAATTGGTTGTATATATTGGATCTTTCTAGGAACCAGTTTTCTGGGGGAGTGCCAGTGTTTAAAAGTGTTTACCATCTAAACCTCTCCCGCAATTTTCTAAACGGTCCATTCCCTGTCTTGACGACCTACGAGGATGGCATCACCACTCTTGATTTGTCATACAATAAATTTAGCCTGAAAAAGATTCCGAAATGGGTGACTTCGTCGCAGTTCATATCTGACTTGAAGCTTGCTAAATGTGGGATCAAGATGAACATGAATGATTGGAAGCCAGTGAGACCTAGTTCTTATTACACCATCGATCTGTCTGAAAACAAGATCTCAGGGAGTCCATCAAGGTTTTTAAGAGAGGCGGAGAATCTGCAGGAGTTTCAAGCGTCGGGAAACAAACTACGATTTGACATGGGGAAGGTGAACTTCACCCAGTTTTTGAGAGTCATGGATATTTCGAGGAACTTGGTATATGGAAAGGTGCCGGCATTGGTGGCTGGAGTGGAAAAGTTGAACTTGAGTCAAAACCATCTTTGTGGGAAACTCCCAGTTACTAAGTTTCCAGCCAGCGTATTTGCCGGTAACGACTGTCTCTGCGGCTTTCCACTTTCTCCTTGCAAAGCTTAGCCGCAACAACTTTGTATTTGAATTTACTGCTATCAGACATGTATGTCCAAAATAAGATTTGTATTTTACTATAAATCAAAAGAACTTTAATATACAACGAAGATTCGGACTGGGATTTGAAAATCGGATGGTCAACAACAAGTAATTTGGTTTTGTGGAGCAACTACATATGTAATTTGAAAAGGGAAAACACCAAAGGTTAATCCAGGAACCTCGTGTGGAACAACACATTCAAAATCCTTTGAACAAATAAGAGAGTATGCAGTTCTGGTGATATGCAAAAGAACCTCCCCGCTCTTTTTAGTGACAAATATAAATATAAGCATAGACATATTTCATATACAAGAGGGCCGAAAACTAGTTTTTTTATAAAAAAATTCACAACCTGTTCTTTTCCTAAAATATTTAGCAACAGCCTTCACCCAGAGTTCTTCACACCTGCAAACATCATCCAACTTTATCAATAGTTGCATCTTTTTCTACTTTTTTGTTCAAGAAAATCTTTACATACACAGATATCCATATACTCGAAACAAATGTGAGTTAATCCCATTACCAAAAATCCACCATGAATCCAAACACTGAACCTAATAGCTTCAATCAGCTTTTTGATTTCTATATCAAAGGAACCAAACCTAAATTCCTATGGTACAATTTACCAAACTCGTCCTACCTAGATTTTTTAGTTTTAGTTTGTTTCCTACGTCTTCTATAACGAAGAACCAAAAATGGAATGCAACATAACTACACTTGGCACTCTTTTTGCAAAAAGGTACCTTTTGATTTGCCTTGGTCAAGAGGGGAACGCAAAGAGCCGATCAGAGATCTTTGTGCGGCAGATTGGGCATTCAGAGCATGCTAGGGAACATGATTTACATACTGTAAAAAGAAACATCTTTTTTACTTTAGAATTTGTTTTGAGAAAGGAGATTTCATAGAGATGATGTCGTGACTTACAGCAGAAATGGCGGCAAGGGAGTAGAATTGCTGCCGTGGGAGACTCGAAACATACTTTACAAATGTGAGAGTTTGAGTCTCCATTCGCTTGAGATTTCATCTCTTTCTCCTTCATTTCTTGCATTCGTGCCTGTCTCATTGTTACAAAACCTTGTTAAACAGTATTTCACAGGTAAAACAATGTCAAAAAGCTCATCTTGTTAGATTTTACCTTGAGACGAGCAACAAGAGGTTCCTCTTTTGGTGTCTCTTCGGTTTTAGCTACCACTACTACTTCAGGTTGTCTCGGTGCACTCGCGACTTGTCTCTCTTTAAGAACCATGTTGCTTTGATTCTTCTCTATTTCCCTTGCCGGGTCAGTGGCAGTTCCGTTGACTTCAGAAGATGCACCATTGTCTTTCTTCAACTTGGCAACAAGTACCCACATGTTTGCCAAATCATTTTCTAGAGCTTCCTCTCTTCTCTTTGCTTCTTCTGCTTTTTTCCTGTATTCTTCTTCAATGAACTCTTTCTCTGCCAATGCAGACTCAAGAACCGCCTCTCGCTGTTTCCTTGCTTTCAACTCCATTTTCAGATCTTCCAGGTCGAGACTCCTTGAGCCAAACTCACCTCCACTTGACCTACCTGAAGAGATCCTTCCCTTTATTCCTGACCTTGCCCCGTCGTTATACTTGCGATTATTAACTCCGTTCATGGGGATACGCGTTTGAGCCAAGTCTCTTGCAGCTGCTAATTCTTTCTCAATCTTTGTGTTTTGTAGTGAGAGTTTTGTTACTTCACTAGCCAGATTTTTCAGCTCAATAGCAGCAGCAGAAGCTAGTTCCTTAGCGTATGAAGCTTCCTCAGCTAATTTTTGATTTTGTACTCTTAGACCACTGTTCTCTTCCACGATCTGAACATGTTCTAGCTTTAACTTTTCGTTATCTACCTCCTAAATAGAAGACATACACATCCATGTAAGAACCAGAGACAAAGTTAATGAAAATCTAAACGTAGATCAAATTCCAATAAATCTATTGTCTATGTTGGGTGATATGTAGCATGCAGGTAATTACTGGAATACTTACGAGAACTGAGAATTTATGTTTGTAGATTTACCTGCGACTGTATTTTCCTTTTTAGTTCGTCTGCATACTCTCCAGATATCGCGTTATCAGAACTAGATACTGCTTTCAAACGTTGCTCTAGAAGGTTCACCTTTTCTTGTAGTTCTCTGGTTTCGGTGCACTACATTGTTGAAAAAAGTGTGGCAAGAGGCATTTTTTTGCAGAACAATGATGAAAGGTAAACGAGATAGTAAGGCAGAATAATGCATATCTTTAAATGAAAAAATGCTACCGACCTTCTTCTGTAATTGTTCTTGGAGAATGCAATTATCTGCTGATTTGATCTGTGCCAAAGGTAGAACCAGGTTAAACATATGGTCAGCAATCTTATGATTTGGCTCTCATAGTAAACAAGGCGGTATTTTCAATAAGAAAATAAATTTTCACCTCTAGCTCAAAGCTCTTCTCATTGCACTGTGTCATTAAACTCATAACTTTCTGAAACAACAAAGAACATGATATCTTAGCTGAAACGGTCATAAATCATGGTCTCGAAGTGAAGGAGATGTGGAGATTATATACCTGTTGCATCTCAACCAGTGATGCGTTGGCAATTGAAGCTTCACCACTCTCAATTATTAGCTGCTCTAAAGCCCTCATTTGCCTTTGCTTTTCTTGAATCTCGCGTTCCAGATCCTGTATCTGCATGCAATAATTTATTAGAGTAGATACTTAAGCTTAAGGTAAATGAGCTACTTTAGGTAGACAGTCAAATACTCTTTTTTTTTAATCATCAAAATATCTCTGAAACGTGTTCAGTGGCCGAGTGCACAACTATCAGAAAGTACGTTTACCTGAGTTTGTGAGTTTTCTGGATCATTAACGGACTGATCCACCAAACGCTTTAGAGTGCTGGTACTGAAAGCTATTTCGCCAGCAAGCATCTTAACTTGTTCAACCAGAAGGTCAATTTCATCCGGCGTCATGACACCCTATAAATAGCCAATA